CGGCGAGGCTGGTGTGCGCGTTCTGCCTCGGTACCTGCAGTCAGGGGGCTGCGGCGTGCCTGGCTGTCCGTGCTTTTGTTGCAGTGAGGTTTGTAAAGGGAGAACGACGGGGAAGTCCAGGGGATCTTCTTGCTGTGTTTATAGCACGAAGCAAGTCACGTCGCCGCTGGGTCCCTGCTTCCCCGGCTGTGAAGTTGGACTAGAAGCGGCTTCTGTCTCGGGCTCAGAGAGGAAGGGTGCTCTGTGAAACGTGCTGTAGCTGAAACACTCGTGCGGGATTTGAGCGTAACTGTGACGCCTTTAGTGTCACGTGCTGGCAGTGGATCCGCTTCTTATAAACCGCTATAACAGCAGAGGGTGGTGCTTATTTAATAGCGTATTTTTTCATAGGTTGGAGCGGCTTTGCCTGTTGATGTCTTGGTATACGAGGAGAAGACTCTGTCTGCGATATTAAGGGTCATTAGCAGGTGAGGTACAGTAGGTTTGCGCTGCAGATACTGCTGTGAAAATGTGTTCCATAGGCAAGCAGAGCTGTTCAGTGAAGAATGGTCTTTGAAGAGCTAAGCCTGACTTGCAGACATCAATGCACAGCATGCAGAAAAAACCAAAAATTCACTGAGATTTGGTAACCTACATGCCAAGGTCCGTTATTCCTGCCCTAAATCAGAATGGTCTGACAGGAACTGAGCACCACTGAAATATGTGGCTGTAGGTTAAAGGTGAGAAGGGTTTCTGGATTTAAGTGGTGAAGACAACTGCGAGCGATTTAGGGGAAGAAGGAGCTTAAACGCACAAAGGGAACGAGAACAGGGCCGCTGAAGTGAACCTGAAGAGGTTACAGGACACACCTGTGTGTCCGGGATGGGAGGCTGTAACTGTTGCGATAACCCCTCAGGGCACAGCGTTGCTGCTAGAACTCACTGATGAATTACCCCCTTTTAAACTCAGTTAGGGTTTCGTTACTCTTTATCTAACCTGGTTTCATTTAAGATGTTTGTGCTGCAGGTAAGCTGAGAAAATGGGATGTTATTACTGTATTTCTTTTCCCTTAGTGGCCTTGTCAAGCTGTGGAGTGCCCTGACATTGCTGGGCTTCTACCAGAACCGGAGGTGTGCTGTTCGAGTGCTGCAGGTAACGCCCTAGGGCTGCACGGCTTCCCCCAGTGCCACTTCTCGCTCTAAGGTGGCCTGGCTAGCTGAGCTCCCTGCCTTTTCATGGAAAGATGGCCCAGGTGCAAAAACATCTCAGTTCGGGGGTGAAGTGCAGGTGTGTGGGCCGGTGTTCAAGCAATCCTCATCTTCTAATGAATCCTGCAAAACGTGCCGGTAGTGGCTGTCTCATCGCTTTATGGCCCCGTTCCAGTGAGAATTCCTGACCTCACTAGTGCAGCTGCAAGGAAATAATTTCTGGAAGGTTTTGTTCTTGGTCCAGGCTCTTACTGCCCTTAACTCACATCTTGCCTTTCTGCTGGTCACTCTCGACTGCCCTCCTTTAACAGTGCGTGCACGAACACGCGCTTCCAGAGCATGTTTTTTCCAGAGGATGCTGCTTAATAGAATGAGTTCCAAGAATCCTTTGTCTCTGCAGCCGTGGCTGAACAAAAATCTGCTGGAGCGTAGCTCTATGGTTTCCATCAATGTAAAAGGGAAATCTAGTGCGTTCAGTGCTGATTTTTTTTATGCTTTAGTTTGTTTCTTGCTTTGTTGGAAACAAAAATCTGCTGGAGCCTAGCTCTATGGTTTTCATCTACGTAAAAGGGAAATCTAGCGCGTTCAGTGCTGATTTTCTTTAGTTTGTTTCTTGCTTTGTTGTTTTTTTCCCTCCCCCCAACCCAGACATCCCCATTTCTTCTGGCGTTATCTGGCAACAGCAGAGAGCTCGTCTTGGACTGAACGCAGTTGTTGGTTTGGTTGGGCGAAGCAGAAGTTGCTTGCGATGTTGCAGCCCTTCACGCGTGGAATTCCTGGAGCGGATTTCCGACGAAGAGCCTTGACAGAGCTCACCGTTCTCAGCTCCCTGCTTGGACATCCCTTCCTTCAGCGCTTACACATAAAAGTTGGAGACAAAGCCCAACTCACCAAAGCTTTTACACAGAGTGACGTCGTTGCTTTTGCTGATTTAACAGGGGACACAAATCCTTTGCATTTAAATGAAGATTTTGCAAAGAAATCGAGGTTTGGGAGAAATATTGTACATGGAGTTTTGATCAATGGACTTATTTCTGCAGTTCTGGGTACTAAAATGCCGGGTCAAGGCTGTGTGTTTCTTTCTCAGGAGATCCGGTTCCCAGCTCCGCTATATACCGGTGAAGAAGTCGTAGCTGCAGCGGAAGTGAAACGACTGAAGGGTCCTGTTGCCCACGTTTCGGTGTCGTGTAAAGTCCGAGAAAGCGGAAGGACTGTCATGGAAGGGATGGTGAAAGTCATGGTGCCGGATGGTTAGCACTGTTGGTCCTTTGCTGCTATAAAGGCCGGAAATGTGTGCTTGGTTTTGGCTCTTCTTCTTTTTCTTCTTTTATCTTAACCCAGTAAACGTGCACCCAAAAAGCCTTCAAAGTGTTTCGAAGGCCGCGCACCAAGTTAACGATGATAGAACTGCGTCAGAGCTTTAATTTTCCCTGCCTGCTGCCAAGACAAAGCCAAGGGAACTGGGCGCTTACGGTGAGAGAAGTGGCACGTCTGGATGAGCCTTTGCTGCGGTGGCAAGTCTGGGGCGGCAGGGCTTATGCTGCGGCTCTTGGTTGTGGCAGAATCGCGGCGTACGCCAGCTCCGCTCGGTTCCCACTTGCTCCCTCCCTACTGGGAGCCAGCGGAGGCGCTGACACGCGTGTGCTGCAAGATCTGGCATCATCTCCGTGGCAGCTCTAGCTGGTGTCGGTGCAGTGTGCTCTTTTGCGATCCTCTAACTACTAAAGCCTTCCTTAGCTCCGTGGATGAGGAGTAGTCGGTCTCCTTAAACAATACACTCTGCCCGATACAGCTGGAGATGTACTTTTGCGATCCTCTAGCTACTAAAGCCTTCCTTAGCTCTGCGGATGAGTAGTAGTCGGTCTCCTTAAACAATAGACTCTGCCCGATACAGCTGGAGATGTGGCTGTCGTAATACTTTCAAATTCTTGAGGTAACTTACCAAACCTGATTATAAACAAAAATTTAGCTCTAGTGGTAAATGCCTCTGAAACTTGTCTCCCGGGAGCGGAGAGGAGGAGGCTTTTAAAAAGCCGTGTTGTCGCTGCTTGTACTTACTGCCTCCTTACGTTCCGTGGGCAAGGCAGGCAGGGGCAGTTGAGTCCTTAACTCCATGGCTTCTCTGCTTATTTGACTGCAAACGTACTCCCCTTTGCCCGCTGGTTGCTGGTAGAGTAGGCTGTAGGTAAATTCATTAGTACGTCATCTGGTTTAATCATCTTATGTTGGTGGGAAAATATACGCTAAGAAACCATTGTTTGGGAACGAGGGGGAGTAAAAGTACAGGCTGTGTTCAGTTGGTTCCATGTAGTTTTCTGGCAAAACATCTGTTATCCCCCCGTCTTCCCTGCAGCAGAAATGCACCCATAGCTTTTCTTGGCTGCAGAGAACCCCAGCAGTTGTTTGCTGTGAGAAGAGGTTCCCCTCAAACTGTGGTGAGAGCTGCTGGTACAACAGCCTGGGCGTGATGTCCGGTTCTTGAATGCGACGGCACGGTAACAGCCACCCCGGGCGCCGAGTCAGGCCGGATCTGAGCGAGGGGTGATGTTTAAGCTGTTTGACTTCAATGTGCTCTCTTCCCAAGCGCGATTTTGGCCCCTTGGCAGCAGCGGGCCAGGGCTGGGTGAGAGCTTTCCCTGTTTTTGTGAGTTGCTTCACTTCCCATTGCCTTTCCTGCTGGGTCACCACCGGCTTTTGCCATACCAAACACTGTTTTCCAAAGCAGGCATGCTCCTTCCCTCCTGCCTTGTTCGCTTGCCCCTCTAGATGGGAAGCTGTCCTGGTACTGCCTGTTAACAAAAGCAGTTAAATCGGTATCTGACCTCGCCGCTCACCGGAGAAGGAGCAGCTGGGAAAGAGCTCCTCCAGCCTGAGGTTCAGCTGCGTAACCACAGCACGCAGCCCGTTTTCCTGC